ACATGAAAAAAAAAGGGGTTTAGTCAAGGGCCAAAATCCATGTTGTCTTTACACAGCTCTGAAATACCCCCCACCTAATATATAAAATCTATAAACAATATAGAAACAACCAACCAAAGAGTACCAGACAGATAACGTCTTGCAAATGCAAGTAGCATGTAAAACAATCAAAGATAAGATCGAAGAGAATGAAACGCACGTAGTGGTCATTATGAATGAATCTCCCAGAAAACGATTGACTATATATACTGGTGATAGGAAACAAGTCAAATTCATGACGAAGGCTTCGAACAAATTTGGGGCAAAGCCACATCGGGGCTATGGGAGTCGAACCCAATTCAATGCTTCCGCGACCCCTCCACGAATTTCTCTTTGCTACGAAAATTTCTGTTTCGCTGCTTTTCTAAACTAGACAGAGTGCGGTAAAATCAATCTCGACTGTTCACTGCGTACGATATTTCTTGAAATTTTGCATGAAGATGTGATCAAAGCTACATGTTCCGCTTTTCCTCAATGAAATTTGGAATTGGAATTTAGCACTGTGCGGAGCTCTCGCTCCTTCTTTGCTTTTCTGATCTCATTCTGGACATATAGAGGAGATAGGAACCTTACCTTATCCCTTATCTATGAAAATATATGAAATAATGATCTCACACTCTTCAAGACAGATTCGTGAAAGGTATATCTACGCCATGGAAGTTTCATGGCTGAATGATTTGTCTGCCTTCCTCTATGTCTATGCTATGGGCAGGATCTCTCTCTCTACATGTTCTACATGTGAAATCTTGTATAATAATTTCTCACATACCAGATTCCCGAGGAAGAAAGCAAGCAAGCCTATAAAGATACGAGGTTTCACCAGATTACAGGTATTAGATTGGTCAGTCTATCCTGAAGGATACCCTTCAGCTCTAACACTCTTAGTTCAAAATATTCAAAATATTAAAGGCGAACAACCTTATTTCCTTTCATATTCCAAGCTCGAGACAAGTTCTCCTCCACTAGCCTTTCGTAATCTCCTGGATTATTCTGCGGGGGCAAATTGTAATAGTCTCGCGCTTCAAGAATCTTAATTCTTTCGTAAATCTCATATGGATTAACTCTGTCGGAACTTGCCGCCGATTCCCGGGGAATCAAGGCGGGAAGATTGGATCCGCCAGCACCGTTGTCAAAATGGCATGTCCAACCAAAGTCGAGAGGTTGCGAGCCTATTTCATGGAGTAAGAAGTCAAATGGCATAAGTGGAATGAGGTTAAATAGCAAAAATAGGAAATCGATATAAATCCAATAAAACAAAATGAACCCAAAACATCTTACTACGAAACTACTGCAAAGGGAAAGTGAAAACATGAAAGACTGAAAGACCTTTTATTTTTTATTTTTAGAGAAATATCTCTCCACACAAGGGAATACGGATTCGAACCGTATTTTATTTATTCCTTTTCCCTCCCCTTGTCTTCCGTCTTTTGTTGTTCTTTTGACTTTTCTGTGGACCTGCCCTTTTCAGGTCATGAGCCTGATGAGTTGACCAATTCCTCTTCGAAGGAGTTTCACATAGTGAAACGAATCTCTAGG